ATCACTGGCTACTTGCGAGAAGCAGATGAAAACAACACTGAGAATACACCTTACCCCAGAAAGAATATCTGCTATCAGAAATTACCCATTAACAAATGATTGTGGGGCTGTGGGGAGAAAAGAAGCCTTCTCCACTGTTGGTGGGAGAGCAGACTGGTGAAACCACTGTGGAAAGCAATATGGAGATTCCTCAAAGTACTAGGATGAGAGGTCCCATTTGACCCAGCTATCCCTCTGCTGGGTATCTTTTCAAAATAATGAAAAAATCATACCACAGTGATATATGCACTCCCAACTGTATATGGTCACAGTTTATAATAGCTAAAACTTGTAAACAACCCAAATGCCCATCAACTGGAGACTGGATAAAGAAGATACAACGGAGTACTACTCAGCCATAAAGAATGAGAAACTGAGACATTTATAGCTAAACGTATGCAAAATGAAGCTATACTCAAGTGAAATACGAAGGACACATTTAAGTAAATACCAAATAGTTTCACTGTTGTGAAAAATGAAAAGTGTAAATAAGGTTGAAATGGCATAGTTGATAGTGTGAAATGAATGAAAATGGCTAAAGGGGATGTGGGAAGGGTAGGGAAAAGGAAATAAGGAAAAAGAAAGAATATGAAAAAAGGAAATATTTAAAAGAAAGTCTTTGCAGGGATATGGGGAGAAAATATGAACCAAGCCATATCACGTAAAGGTACAAGATCCCAGTGATAAATGTAACTGTATTGTTTGCTTTAAATGTACCAATAAACTAAACAGGAAACTATTTTTCTTTTTAATGCTGGTTTTACTGTCATGCAGAATGCAAGAGCTGTGGTGTCAGGAAGGCCTCCACTCAGAATTCAAACAAATCTCTGAGAGTCCAGTGAAGGAAACTCAGATAGTGCAATATGTGTAATCAAAGAAATAAAACCAATGGTGCTCTGGAGACTTCAAGGAATAGGAGATGCCAGGAAAAATGGTCTGTGAAAAGAGCCCACAAAAGAAAGGCAACATGGGATCCAAAGGCTGAGGTCATAGGGTGGTGGGTCTTCCTTACCACTCTAGATAGACCTCATATCTGCACAGGACATTTCATTCATGGTTGTTAATCTGGAACTACAGGACTTGATGCTTGCCCTATGGCTTTTGGTCTTGTTTTAACCTGAATCATTTCAGGAAGGTTTTCATTGTGCCATTTTTACCTTGGTGCTCTGTATCTTGTTTTGAAAATTATTTTTCTCGATATCACAGAACAGTCACAGTACTCTGCTCAGGAGTTGCCATGAACTGAACATCTTTGCTCCACCACACGTTTCTGCCACAATGTTTCTCACTGGAAGTTTACCAGTAGGAAAGCTGAGTAACACTCTATCACTCTGGAATATTGATCCAATTGACAAGAGCCTCAAAGTAGAATGAG